GAAACTCAACAATTTTCTTACTTGTGATTTTGATTTAGAATTACTCTTTTATTAGAATAATTTTAGTATCTGTTGAGTTTTGACCACATAATTTATTAATTGTGAAAACTGTTAAACCTTATCAAGAAAAAACTAAATGTTCTTTGTTTTAGTTTGAATTCACTGTTTTTGTTTTAAAATAGATTTTTTATGTTTAGTTATTTCATATAAAGATAGAAAATTACTCATCTTATCAAAATATTAGTAGGTATATTTTTATTGTAATTGTTTTAAAAAAAGTTCACTACTTACTATTTAGACTTAACACAACTATATTGTCCTATTTCTTATTATTATTATTTGTGACTAGTGTATAGTTATTTTAATTTAAGTTGTGTCTCATATGTGAATTTACTTACATAAAATGTTACAACTAGTAGACAAGATAATATATTAAAAATATAAAATAATAAGTTTAAAATAAAATGTTTCTAACATAAATTAATTAATGGTTAACTATTAATTTATGATCATGTATAATGTGTTCATTACATTTTTCATTAAATCGACAAATAAGTGAAAATAATTTACATTTGTCAGTATACATTTTTTATATTGTTTGTAAATGTTTATGTACATGTATTTTTTTTTTACATAAGTATTAAGTTTTGTACAATAATGTAATTTATAATTTTCTATACTATTTTTATTATTACTATTATCACTGAAAATTTATATTTTCATGTTTGTATATATCTATAAGACTAAATATATGTTCATTTTAAATTTAAAAAAAATTCTTTAATTTATTGAATGATTTGATTTTTATATGTAGTAATCTTTAGGTGATTTCTACACCAAAGCGCGCCTCTAAAAAAGTAAAGTACTTATATTAATTGTTTACTTTTTAGGTATGATTAATAGATTTTGAATTTATAAATTAAAATAAATATATATAAGACAGATTGGGTAGTGAACGAGTTAATTAATTTTATTAAATTATTACGTTAAGTTAAAAGCCGGTTAATTTTTTTTTAACTAAATATTTACATTCTATATCAAAATACAATAAGTAAATTTTATAGAAATAATTAAACAAAAATAAGAATTCATATTTAGTTTCTATAAAATTTAAAATTTATTAGCACATTGCATGCTATTAAAGTCTTAAAATATAATTTCAAGGATAATATTTACATGTTATATTAAGTTATTAAGTATTTTTATTAATGGTTAAAATTTTAAATATGATCTTCGTTGTCGCTGACATCTGATAGTAGTCATGATTATAAATGTTGGTTTTTTGTTTTGATTCCTAGGTTGTAGAAATGTGCTCTGTCAAAAGTTTTTAGATTGAAGTGGAAATTTTTAAACTGGGTTTTTTACACGGTCTTGAAGTAGAGGTATTCCTGATTCGTGAATTTGCATATTTCTCATGAATAGGTCCGGAACTTGATGCATTTGTATTGTTTTACTAATGCGTTTATACGAGGCTGGTCTTTACAGAAATGTGACTTATGTTAAGTAAAATTCAATGAAACCATTTTTTTTTTTGCATTTTTTGGTAAATTTTGGTTATGCAATAATTTTTTACTGATTTTATTGCAACTAAATATATGAAAAAAGTAACGTTTTGTATTTAAATACCTAGGTGTCTTTTTTTGTAATTATTTTGTATCAATGATATTATTTCTTATCTCCGTTTTAAATTTAATTTAGGCCTTGTAGTCTGTAAAAATAACATACTTAATGTATAAAAATATTAGCATTGTTAAAATTTAGATGAATGAAATAATAAATAAATGATTAAAAATATTAATTTATAAACGATTATTTTTTGGTATTTATAGGATAATTTGTTTATGTTTATAAGTCATTTAAATAATTTTTTGTGTATATTTTATAAATATTTTTAAGTCATCAAGTTCTGGGCTCTACTCATGAACCATAGGGTTTTTCGGTATATTTAAAAAAAATTTTAGATTTGAATTTTGTTAATTTCGATTGAAAAAGCAGCTGCTCATATTGGGAAAGCATAAGTGATTGGTGGTAGGTAGTTGGATTATTAAAATGTGTTTTTTTTTTTTTTTTTTAAATGCATTTTTCGTCTAAAAACACTAAGGTACTTGCTAGAATCATCTTTATTATTTTTTTATGTTGCTTAATTATTAATGATAATGAACTAAGGATCTTTATATTGTTTTATAGAGTAATGATTTTTGCTGCACTTTTTGTTGAATTCTGGTTCTATTTCCATTTTTTTGAACCAGATGGTTACTGTGTTTAGAGATATTTGGAGATTTTGAATTGAAAATTTCAGGGAGTTACTTTGGGCTTAGGGTTACTATTGTTGTATCGTCTACAAAATAAAAAACATTGTCAGTTAAGAGCTTGGGAAAATTGGTATCTCATGACAGTAGATGTTGAAGAGAATTGGGCCTTGGCCCTTGGGGAAATCCGGCTTGTATATTATGAGTTTAGGAGAAATTGCTGACTTGGAATGTTCGGTTAGTTTTAAAGTGTAATGATGTGCTTCCAAGCAATCATAATTAAATATTTATATAATAAAATAAATAATTATGAGTTATGACCTTTAGCTATAAGTAATTTATTTATATAATCATATACGACAAAAATCAAATATTTAATTACTATATAATAAAATAAACAATTATAACCTTTAGCTATAAGTCATCTATTAATATAATCATGTAAGACAAAAATTAAAT